TTTATTCCCATTTTCCACACTTTCAAAACTGTTATTATTGCTCTTTGATGATTGTAGCTATTATATGTCAGTCACTGTGGTAATCTTGTCACATAAATTATTTCATACCACCCTTAGTAAAGTGTTGAGAGGGTGTTATTTGAGCTCACATCTATGATAGATGAGTCAGGAGACACTGGGTTATGCTGTGGTATGAGGTAGTCCTGAGTCTCTGTGACTTGTTCCTCCATCTTATATGTGCTGACAAGTGCATGTCCATCAAAGGATGATGGCTGTCCAAGGTGAGTGATTTTTATGGACTGATTTGCATGAAAACTGATAAGCAACCTCCCAGTCACCGAGCCTGTGGATCAGAGGCCCTGGAGGATCTCAAACCAACAACCATTTGTTCTGCCTCAAAAACAACACCTGCCACTCACCACCCACTAGCCAGAACTAGTCACAAGCAGGGCACCACCAAAATAAAGGGTCCAAAAGAAGCAGCTTTGCCCTGTGTCCGGAACAGCAGAGAAAGGGAAGTATTAAGTAGAAACATAGCTGACAATGAGAGATTAAGTACTTGCCTAAAATCACATATAAACAGTAACTAGGCTGCTCCAGATATATGTGGATTTCCAGTGCCAACCATTTTCTTTCTGACTCCTTTTGAACGTTATATGCTACACTCTTCAACGCAATTCATATATAATTACAATTCAAATTCGTTTGACGCTGTATTTCCTTTCTCTTTAGCATCTGATTTTTCAACAGGGGTTGAATAGCATGATGTAATTAATTATAGCTCCTGGAATTTGTCACCTACAGGTCTTTTCCATGTAAATAAATGTATATTTGAATATTCAGACTAGTCAAGCATAGCAATTATAAAGTGAAACCTAACAATAGCTGAAAAGACTGTCCACTTGTTATATGCTTAGTAAAAATATTTCATGCCATTCGAAGTCATTTAGGAAAAAATAAAAAAGCAAAAATTAATGAAATTAGATAAATCTGAGTTGAATAAAAATACAAAGTGTTAGTGTTTTCTAAAACTAACATCATAAACAAAACCCAGGCAAGACAGGTCAAAGTAATTAGGAAGCACAGATAAAGCACTTTTGAATGAAAAATTGTTATGGGTAGCACTTAAAAAAATAGGCCCTTCCTGGTGGCGCAGCGGGTTAAAGCACAGCACTAAGAAGCCAAAGCCACTTCCGCATGAGTTCGATTCCCGCCTGCCCCGGAGGAGACCACATGGTGTGGCAGACCTCTCCTGACCCACCCGCTGCTCCCCTCAGCAGTGTACTTCGTCGATCTGCCTGTTCTGCTCCCCTCTCTGTCTCTGGTGAAGTCTCTCGCTGCCCCTGCACCTCTGGCCTGTACCCCAGTTCTGTATGCATAAATAAATAAATCTTTAAAAAAATAGTATAAAACGTGCTTATCATTTGAAAATTTAAATTGAATTGAAAAATTATAACTTGTTATATTGAGGAAATAGAAAATACCAGTATCGGGACCTCCCTGGAGGCCTAGGGATTATCTCAGCACTATCACCACTGTGGCTTGTGTTTGATCCTCAGCCAGGGAGTTAACCCATATGGTGAAGTGGACCTCTCTCTGACTGGGCCGCTACTCCCTTAGTGTATTTCAGTCAATCTGCCTATTCTGCTCCCCACTCTGTTTCTGGTGAATCCTCTCACCACTCTCCCCCTATACCTTAGGCCTACACCCCAATTCTTCTACAAAAAAAATAATAAGAGTATTTAAGAGTATTCATGTAAAAGAATACATGAGAAAACAAAAAACTGGTCACTTTTTTCTTTAAGATTTATTTATTTATTTGTACAGAACTGGGGTACAGGCCAGAGACGTGGAGGGTGAGAGGATTCACCAGAGACAGAGTGGGGTGCAGAACAGGCAGATCGACGAAGTACACTGCTGAGGGGAGCAGCAGGCGGGTCAGGAGAGGTCTGCCGTGCCATGTGGGTCAGCTCCGGGGCAGGCTGGGATCGAACTCATGCAGAAGTGGCTTAAGCTTCTTTGTGCTGTGCTTTAACCCACTGCGCCACCAGGGAGGGCCTCACTTTTTTTTTTTAACCTTGTGAAAACAAATACAATATGTAGAAGTAGGATAATAGCAAACTAATTCCAGTAATGGTAATAACAGGTAATACAGCCTAATAGAGTTGTGCTTTCCAAAACCAATTTTAATGTTGATTTAACATTGGGAAATAAATAATGTAACTCAAAACATTATAAAGTAAAAGAGCAAAAAAAAAAAAAAAAGGATTGCCATAAAGCTATAAGGATGCCATAAAAAGAAAGGAATATATTAAATTCATCAACCAATTGAGATTAGCCAACAACTGGGAATACAAAGAATTTCTTGCAAATGATAGTGGGTATTTGAAAAACCAAAGCCCATACATAGTAATGAAATATTAAAACCATTCTATTAATTTGTTGTTAAATATTTGAAAAATTACAGTTATTGAGGGAAGGTTGAATTACATCATCTTATCTATTTTAGGTGTATTGGTTCTCAGGTCTACAAATGTATTTTTCTCACTTCCTGCACCACCAAAGCACCCACAAGTTTGTACCACAGTCCATTGAGCACCCCTGCCCCTTTGTCCTCACCCTTCTGCCCTTTGCTTCTAGTAGTATGCCTACCAGATTTCAAGAATTCGTTTTTTTTTTTGTCAGTTCCTTTCGATAGTTTTTTGTTCCACACGTGAGTGAAATTGTATAGTATTTGTCTTTCTCCTTCTGCCTTAATTCTCTCAGCATAACCCCTTTTAACTTCATCCGTGTTGTTGCAAATGGCAAGATCTCATCTTTTTTTTATACTTGTCTAGTATTCCATAATCCATATGCACCATTTTTTCTGAATCTACCCATTTGTCATTGGGTAAAGTTGTTTCCATAACATGGCTATTGTAAAAAGGGCTGCCATGAACATAGGAGTGAATATATCCATAGGAATTAAATTTTTTGGCATTCCTCATGTAATACTAATTAGTGGAAGTACTGGACCTTAAGATAGCTCTATTTTTGATATTGTGAGAAATTTCTGTGCTATTTTCCCTAGGGGCTGGACCTGTACACAGGCACACTAACAGTGTGTAAGGGCTACTCCTTTTACAAATTTGCCAGCCACATTAATTTTTTCTGGTCTTTTTGATAGTCACCATTCTCAAAAGTGTGAGATGGTAATTTGTCGTTATTCTGATTTGCAATTCTGATGATAAGGGATGTTGAACATATTTTTATGTGACTGTTGGATGTATGTATATTTTTTTATTGGAGCAGTGTCTACTCTTCTCATTTTTATTAGGCTATTTGTTTTGTTGTTGTTGTTGTTGAGTTGTATGAGTTGTTTTGTACCTCTTGGATAGTATGGTGTGCAAATATTTTCTTCCCTATGGTAGCATTTTCTTTTTTATTTTTTTAGATTTATTTATTTATGCTTATAGAACTGGGGTACAGGCCAGCAGTGTGGTCGGTGAGAAGATTCACTAGAGACAGAGGGGAGCAGAACAGGCAGATTGACAAAATACACTGCTGAGGGGAGCAGTGGGTGGGTCAGAAGATGTCTGCATCACCATGTGGGTCAGCTTCCTGGCCGGAAATTGAACTCCTGCTGCAGTGACTTCAGAGAGCTTCATAAAGGGATGCTTCAACCCGTTGTGCCACCAGGGAGAGACCGGCATTTTCTTTTTAATTAAGGTTTCTCCTGTGCAGAAAGTTTGGAGCATCGTGTAGTTCTGTTTGCATATTTTTGCTTTTATTTTCTTTGTCTTTGGAGTTGAGGCTCCCAAAACAGCTGAAACCAATGTTTCAGAGTGTTTCTATTTTAATGATATTCATCTTTCTGCTCCTTGCTATGAAGACCTAAGATTAGGAAGAGCTGAGGACATTTCAGGCTGAGTAAAAAGAAAACTCACTCTGGATGTTTCAAACAGAATATTGTTAAGAGTAAGACAGGAGTGAAGGGATAATTTAGGAGGCATTTATGTCAGTCATTCATGACACTGACACTTGTATTAAATTGGCAAAGGAAATACAGCTTGCTGATTATTAGTAGAACCACATTAGTAACACTGAATCTGGGAAGCCTGAGTGGTGGCTTCCCAGACATTAATGCCTGTGGCTATTAGAGACACAAGTGAAGGGAACACTCAGATGCCTCTCAGTGTATGAGTGGTGCTTACTCTCACACATTTAATCACACCTTTCCTCTACAAAATGTTCTCATTGTTAAAGGTTTCAATGAACTTTCTTACTGTTCTTCTTCCTATTTCTTATCCATATCCTCTTCCACCTTGTCCTCCTCCCAACTTTGTCCTCAGGGTGTGATCTGTCAGCTAAGCCTTTCTGGACAGACAAGCGACTTTACTTTCTAGGGTTTGTGTGGTCAGTCTTTTAGAGCAGGGTAGCATTTGCCTGGTCTACTGCAGTGTCAGCTGTTAAGCACATGCTATGTGCATAACAAAATGCAGATGTGTCTACAAACATGCATGTTTTTCCCTTTTTCAGGATTCAATAATGGTGAAATAGAAACGGGTCCGCAGTACATGAAAGGTAGTCCTTACAAGAGTGACTCTTTTGCACATGATGACTATGACGCTCAGTCTTCACACTTGCCGGAGAACAGACATGGGGAGATGAGAGATGCCCAGGAGGATGTGGAAGTACGAGTGTAAGTGGCCTGGCAGCCTGCTTTGCATGGAGCAGCCCCCAGAACTGTGCAACAGCTTCCATAGCCTCCTCTTTCTTCTCTCACGGGAAGACTGAAGGAAGCTGGAGGTGAATTGGGACTGAGCAATCCCAATTGTAGTCCTGGTGTCAGAAAGGCAAGGTGGGTAGATTTTCTTCATATTCGTGCCCATCCTGCTTCTCTTCGCTTCCCTCACAGCACTCCCTATGGCAACCAACAGAACAAGAGGAGAGAGAATTTACAAAATGAAGACCACCTGCATAGTACTGTGTGGAGTGATAGGAAACCTGCAGAGAGAGAAATGGTGAAGAAAACACAAATTGGAACATCAGAGAACTGGTTCAGGATTACAGTGAGTGTTCTGGAAAACATGTTATGTGCAGGGGAAAGGCTCAGGGACAGCTGTGCTGGTCTGCTACAGAAACCTCGCTGCTCTGACGGCACAGTTTATAGTCTCTTCCTTATATTCAAGGAGTTGATGTTCTTATTCAGCTCAGCGAAAATTCAGAGAAGCCATATAAAGGGAACCGCTGAGTGTAGGGAGGATGGGGAGGTTATCAAAAGGCACTGCTGGAAACCACTTCCAGGAGGTGGAGCAGCTGCCTACCTGATGCCTCAGTTTGCCTCCAGCTGAGTGGCTGATGCAGGTCAGGTGAGGCGTCTGAGGCAGGCTTTGAAACGCAAGTGGCTCTTGCTAGCTATGATCCTGTGGAACTGTGTAAAAGGAAGCTAGGGCAATTTAGTTATTTGAGGAGATCTTTGAATGGAGAGTAAGGGGGTGTAAGAAATAAGAACTCAGGCCGGTGGGTCCACCTTGAATAGCCCTCGCAGCTCAGCAGTAGGTCAGACAAGAACCCGTGATGGTCTGTTCTCCAGCCTTAATTCCATGTCCTGTCTCTCCTCTCTCAACAACCTTTGCCTGCAGATTCCTGGTGGGATCAGATATGACAAGATCTGGCTGATGAATTTACTCCAGAACCACTGCAGAGTCCCGTTCACACCTGTGGATGTAAGAGAGGGTGGTGCAGGCAGCCGCGTGGGCACAGGGAAGGGGGGCGGGGGGCGGTGGTTGGGGGGTGGGGGAGGCAGAGCAGGAGATGGCTGCCTTCCGAAACGATCACGGCACCCCTCCTGCAGTTCCACTACGTGAAAAACCAGGCTCGGTTCTTTGTCCAGGATGTCAGAGCTGCCTCTGCACTGAGGGAGGTCAGCAATAAGATTTCTGATGAGCAGAACCAAAAGGTGTGTGTTGAGACATTACCTATGCAGTGTGCTTGGGTAGGAGGACAGACCTGCAGCTGGTCATCCTTTCGGAATTAGAGATCCTTGTGTTTACCTGACCTGTCTTCCCCTAGATAAGTACTTGTGTCATACAATCTACTGAACCCTACTCTGTGTGGAATATGTTGGAGCCAGAAGAACTGGAACGGCTAGAGGTAGTGTGGACTCAATGGATATTGTGTGCGCACCCACACCCACACCCACAGCCAGACCTGCGGCTACATCCCAGCACAATTTCCCTGTCAGCATCACACCTCACAGAGCTCTCTATCTCTCCCTCTAGGCGACCATAAAAAAACGATATGAGGTGTCCCAGAAGGCTCTTGACCTGCATAGGATCCGCTTTGACCCAGGTATGACTGACAGCATAATTATAGGGCAGGTGATGATGGAAGGGTCTTGGAAGGGATGGCATCATTGGGAGGGGGTGCAGCAAGTGCTAGACCCTACTCATTCTTCGGATTCCCTCTTGATCACTTTCTGAAGACTTGTTAGTCCACAATGTTGATATAATCCTGAATCGAAGAAGCTGCATGGCCGCCACCCTGCAGATCATTGCAAAGAACTTCCCCCAGGTGAGACCTCATGCCCAGTGCAGACACTATGGTAGGGGGCAAAACAGTTGTGGTGGGGGAGGGGGCGGGAGGAGATGGGGAGAGGCATGTGGAGGGCACAGTTGTCTCCTAGGCCACAGGTAATAGGAACTGAGGCTCTAACTCTTCTTCCCCACAAGCTCTTGTCCATCAACTTGTCCAGCAACAAGCTGTACCAGCTGGACGGCCTGAGTGACATTGTGCAGATGGTCCCCACAATCAAGATCCTGAAGCTCTCCAAAAACATGGTGCTAATGGAGTCAGGGCAAAGTTAGGTTGGGGAGGGGTAGTGTCTTCAGAGTGATGATAACAGTCAACCAGGTGACTGGAAGGGAAGCTGGGGTGTGGGCACAGTAACCCAGAGTCTTTCTTAAAAGTCATTTTCTAATTCCTCTCTCCCTCATATGTCTCAGCTGAAGTCGACCTGGGAAGTGAGCAAGATGAAAGGGCTGAGGCTTGAAGAACTTTGGCTTGATGGGAACCCCTTGTGTGATACCTTTTCAGACAAATCCAGCTACATGAGGTCACTGCAATCCCCTCCCACCCATTTTCCTAGGGACCATCACCCTTGGGAATGTGAACATTGCCTGACAATGACTGTCTCAGGATGTAGCAGGAGTGGAATTTTGGGAGTCCTCTCCTTCTGATCTGCTGGCAGTTCTCCTAGCCTGGGGCCTGCCCTGAGTCTGCATCTAGCCTCCTCCAGTGCGCCCTGCCGAGTGCATACCCCAGGAAGCCGGGTTCCTCCTCCTCACCGAGCCCCCAGTCACAAGTCTTGAGCAGATGTGGTGCCCTGGACTGAGAAGGGAAATCTGGCCCAGGCCTGGTACTGAGAGAGGCCTTCTTGCCTTGTGCTGGGACCAGGCTCACTTTCCTACGTCAAAGGTTCCCCCTTCCAATGCCAGCTTGACACAGGGTTTTACTCATGAGGAAACAAGGAAGAAAGGTAGACCGGACGACCATCAGGAGAGAAGGCGGTGACCCCGTCCCCATTCTGAGCTGGGCCTGGCCCCTTACTCCTTGGGAGGGTGTCCAACCCCCTGGACTGCTCCTGTGTCTGTGCCTGGCTAAGACTGGGCTCCGGGAGTGAGGAGGATCCACTGGCCTCCAGAGGGCCTCAGCCCCACTGGGGCATGTTTTCCATTCGCACGTGGGGTCTCAGGGCCACCCAGGGGCAGGTGAAGGGAAGCACTGTAGCAGGGGAGCCATTTTCCATTCTCTCTTCTTCTGCCCCCCCATGCCCTCGCCTTCTGTCTCCTGTGCTCTGTGCCTCTGAGACTCTCTCTAGTGTCCCATCCTGCCTTCACCCCCTTTGAGTCTTCACCTGCCCCTTTCCCTCCTGCCAGCTGAGTTCTACCTCACTCCCCTCCTGCCTACATCCGGGCCATTCCCGGAGGTGTGTGTGTGTGTGGGGGGGGGGTCCTGGTCCTGTGAGGCAGCAGTGCCCCAGGCTCCCACGCCATGGACTCCTCTCTGAAGCCTTGGGGGAGGGCGGTCGTGCAGGCAGGGAGGGACCCGAGTCTGGCGCCTGGGCTCCAATTGCTGTGTCTTGTGGGGGTGGAGAAGGGAGAAGGAGTCAGTCGGGGAGTCTAGCCCAGAGCTACTACCCGGGGGAAAGGAGCAGGAGAGACAGGAGAGATGGAGCAGGGGCTTCACAGCCCTGAACTGTCAGTCACTCCTTTCCGCTTTGTTTTGGACAGTGCCATCCGGGATTACTTCCCCACGCTGCTGCGCCTGGTAGGTGCCTGTGTTCATCCCTGTCTCTTTCTAACGCTGATGTTCTCCAGCCCTGCCCTCACGTCCTTGGGGT